ACTTTCTAACAGTAAGAATTAAACGTATGAAAGAGACGTAAATCACTGGATCTGTGCAGTATATCTTGCCATTTCTCTTGTATCTAATAAATAATTCATAAACAAATTGGTTGATCTATTCACAACTCGTAATAAAAGAAAAATGTGACATACTCCCTACTGCAATTTTATTAACAACCCTTTGATCTAGTAAATGGTAAAAGAAATTAAGGAGGCGTTAATGAAGAGACTACCGTGTCTTACCAGTGCCGGGCATTTCTACTGTGGCTGTGAACGCGTTAACCATTTAAACGGAACGATTGCGATTCTGTTGTAAAGAAGGGAGAAAGAGAGAGAGAGAGAAATAGCGATAAAGTCATAGAATGGGGTGGTTGGTTCACCGTCTAGGATTCTATAATCCGTACGATCTTTATCGTTAAATTCTGTTCCCGTGGACCGATGCCTCGATTGCGCAATCAAGATGGCATCGAGAAAGGCATCTCTCGCCTTCGACTCAAACTACCAACAAGTATTTCAATATCCGCTCCAATATATTCCCATCGACCCTATAAACGTGTGTGCAGTTATATTGGATTCCCTTCCTCCTGCCTCTGTGCCGCGCTCGTTCCCTCTCCTTCTCGCACGTTCCGCTGCTTTTTCCGCTCTCCCTTCCTACGGGTTAGGTGAAACGAGCTCAACCAATCGGCCCTCGACACCCTGACGTACCGAGTCCCGTTTCGTTCGGACGTGTGTGCATATCCACCCTGAAGGAAACCGCATTTAAACGTGTTTGGTAACCCTGTAAAAGATTCTTCGCCCCGCGTTCTTCGCCAACAAGAATGGGAACCGGGGTATTCCTTCGTGGTGGGGACGTGACGAGGGACCCATAAGCGCCATCCTTTTAATTTCCTCGTTATTGAGGCTACCGCTGTTCCGAATCAAAGTAATTATTCCTTTATATCTCTCCCGCAGGATTCTGCGGTGTCACTGGTGAACCACTTCACGTTTGAACGCCCTAATTAACAAATTCATCTGCGAATTTTGTAAATTTCAGAAATTATCGAAATTACAAACTTATGAAAATATTATTGAAATGTACAAACTTGTACATATATACTGACATAACTTCTCTTCATATCAGTACTCGCTATACTTCATCACTACTCATCAAAGTCCTCCAGTAATGTCCGCGTCAGTGTAACATCCCTTGCCACAAAAATGAATATCCGTTCAATACAAATAATTTTTAATTAAAAAAGATGGACACGAAAAGAGCAAAACAAAAGAAGAAGTTGGCCATTTGCAGTTTCCGGTCGAATGAATTTCCGCGTAATTCTATATTACAAAAACGAGGGGGATTAAAGAGGGAAGGGGGAGTGGAGAAGATAGAATTCTCGAGCGCGAACGATTCTGTCGAACGGAAATGCAATTCGCAGCGGCGTCGGCGGCGGTCCGGGTCTCAGCTCGGGTCGACAGATAGATAGAGTCAAGATTCAATTAGCTCTAGCTGTCAACTGCATGATACTCGTCGATTCAATACACCTTCCTGTTCGTGTGCCTTCTCACATGCTTCCCTGTGCGTGTCCCGGCTCGCGCGCACCCACGTTTTCGCACGCCTCCACGTGCACGCGTGTGTTGGAGATATTTGCTCGCGTGAATGCGCCCGCGGTACACGCGTGCACGCCGAAAATTAACCCGGCTCGCAGGGTCAATGCGTGCCGCATTTTGGAAATGATTTTACCGACGAGCGGCGCGGGAGAGTGCATAAATTTTCGACGTGCTCGATTTCATCGAATAATGAGACAGACCAGCTGTCGTAATAGCTGCATCGATGATATTCGAATTCCCGATTCGTTTCGTTTAATGAAAATAAAGATACCTATCGTCCTAGTCATTAGTTTCCGTGATCGGATACCGTTGAATATATTAACAGGTTTGTAATCGCTCGCTTGGAAATACGTACTCTTTTTACATTGACAATGAAGTCGATTTTATTTAATTTCTATTGTATTCACTGTATTACGATTTTCATTATTGTTCTTCTGTGCTGTAGATATAATGTATCTTCACATTTATGCATTACTTTAATTACAGCACAAATTTAAAAATACTTGAAAGAATTAAGAATTAAGTTATAATTATACTTATATTTATACTTATAATTATACTTTACTTATACTTATAATTATACTTCACTTATACTTATAATTATACTTTACTTATACTTATACTGTTATTTATATTTATAATTATACTTATAATTGTACTTATACTTATATTTATACTTATTGTTACTTATATTTATAATTATAATTATACTTATACTGTTACTTATATTTATAATTATACTTATAATTGTACTCATACTTATATTTATACTTGTAATTATACTTATAATTATACTTATACTGTTACTTATATTTATAATTATACTTATAATTCTACTTATACTGTTACTTATATTTATAATTATACTTATAATTGTACTTATACTGTTACTTATATTTATAATTATAATTATACTTATACTGTTACTTATATTTATAATTATACTTATACTTATACTTATACTTATACTTAAAAGCTCATATTTTATTTACTAATAATTCAAATCAAAAAGTCACAGATTTATTATTAACAAAAAAGAAAAGAATCCTAAAGCACAGCATACTTGTAGCATGTCATCCATGACACATAAATTGAATTCATTAATTCCCCATAGAATTTCGATTATCGTGAAGAACATCCCAATTTTAATTTCCTTTCGTCAGCACTCGTTGATAAAACGTATTAACAGGATTTTAATTGATCATAGTTTGTTAAAAGATTGGGGTTGCGAATGGCCGTTTGGTATACGCGAAAAAATAGCGTGGATCTGGTGACCGATGTGCGTGTAGATGATGTAGGTATCACTTATCCGAGAGCAGAGCGATACCAGCCATTTTCAATTTATTTCAAGTGCCTTTTCGTGGCGCAGAAAAGAAGGGTGCTACGACTACCGACAGAGAGATACCTATACAACGATCTTCGGCTTCTCCACCTCCCCGACCAATTCCATCGGCAACCCGCAACCAATAGCCGTTTCATGAACCTGATATCTAGATATTAAAGTTATTTCCGAATATTGTTACAAAGTGGTTTTTGTTAGTAAACGTTCGATCAATATTATACTTATGACTTGTATAAATTGGTTTCGCATATTTTTCGCTTTGTAAAACCTGTAGAGAGCCTAGAGACTATTAGAAAGAATCCAATAAAGTATCGCATAAAAGACTAAAAAGAAAATATAAAAATTAAGGGAGTAGGTATACATGATAGGTTTGGATATACACGAAGGTATCGCGATTTACGCATAAAATGCATACATAGGTAAAGAACGTAAGGAGCAAAATAAGGGGGAGAGAGGTACAAAAAGAGAGAGAGAGAGAGAGGGCGTTGCGACCGCGGAATTATTGAACCCCATTGCGAATGTGAGAGAACAGCTGGGGGAAGGAAAGAGGGAAAAGGGGTGGTAGGAGACGTGGGTGGTAGATGGGAGCAAGAGAGTTGTAAAAATAACGCAGTTAATTAGCAGCAAACCACTTTAGCAAGCCTCGAGCCCAGTGCACACACTGTAATAAGCAAAGAACAACTCACGGGCGAAAAAACGCCCTCGAACGCGAGGCAACTGAAACGCGCCAAGGCCCAGACTTGCCTCTTTTTTTCTCTCTCGTGCTCTCTTTCTCTCTCTTTTTCCCTTTCGTTTCTGTTTTGCTTTTCACGGCGTTTCTTTTTCCCACCCACGTTCTTCCCTATCACTCTGGCTCGCTCACTTCGTTGCGTACTGTTTCCTCCTTTACCGGCTGTTCTGCCGGGTCGACCATAAACAACGAACGTTTTAACAATTTCGCTGTTGCGCACCGCTTCGAAACTCATTGTGCCACGAAAAACACGCTTCGTCGAAGGTTCATTTGTTTCCTGATTTTCCGTTCTCAACCACCCGTACAATTAATTTTCTCTCCGCTGGGGCTGCCATTTAAATAAAGATGACCGATATAGCGCGCTTTAATTACCAGTTAACGGCTAAAAAATTCAAAACAAGAAAAACACATCTGAGAATGTTAAGGAAATTTAATAAAATGCGTTTCAAATGTTGAGTTACCTTATTCTATAACAATTGAAATGAAATTCCTGTAGGAGAGCTTATCAGCGCTTAGTGGGAATCTAAGGAGAGCATGGGGGAGCTTAGAGATTAAGGAAGTAGTGACTAGGAGACCTCACAAGGACAGCTTCTTAGATGTTCACTACTTAAACCCTTCCTATGTTTCTGTAGATTAGAAATCTCTTTTATATAAACGTTTATGTAACATACAAAGGTAAAGACATCGCGCTATGAAAAACAGAAGAAAAAGATTTTCTTCAGAGAATAAATAGATATCTAGATGTCAGGACTTGTCAGACGCACAGTCGTGAAAGATAGAGACGAATCGGTTGAAAAGGGAACCCTTTTTACGATTACGACCCTCTTTTTACCCACGACAATGGTCCGCCACGAGAAATTGAATTGGCAACATCAGTAAACGACGCCGACTTACTCCCGTACTGCCAAAAAGGAGCAAAGAACGAGAAAGAGTAGAGGGTGAAAGAGAACGACGTATAGAAAGGGTAGGTGGAAAAGAGAAAGAGAACAGAGCCACGTTTCACGCCTCGTAAATTTCAAACCGTTTGAAATCCAGGTGGAAATAATACAACTTTGCGTTCCTTGTTAAGGATCAAAGGAAACCTACCCCAATCTCGATTTCGAGGCTCTCTGTTTCTCTTTCCACGCCCCTCTACCTTTTCTTTCTATATACCCAACTATAACTCCTGCTAAACTTCTGATATCTGTGCACTCTATTCAAAACCATTTATGATGGTATCTCATTGTTTTTCACAAACGTTCGATTCCTTTTGTTTCAAAATCACAGATGCGAGGTTTTATTCGTTTTAGAGCATCAATTTGGATGGGACAATAGCTTGACTATTATTTTTTAGTTTCACAATTACTGTTTTGATTGCTATGATATTTTATTCATTTTATTTACAAATGTTCTTATTATAAACTTTTAATTTTCCTGATTTCTTTGTATATTGCCCTTGCTCCAACTGAAAATATAAAAATGTTATATTTTATTTGAAATAAATGTGGTGTTATTAGATGTAATGAAATACACTAATGTAAAGGAAAGTTGATGACTCATATTCAAAATTCATTTGCATTAGTTATTGAATTCATATCTTCTTATACAGTTGCATTGTCATTTTTTTACATAAATAATATTGCATACAATTTAAATTTTAGGAACCGCTTACCAAATGGATCATAGAATGCTTTTTCCACTTTATCACCTGTTCTTTCTCGTATTACATTACGCACATGACCAGTTGCTATACTTTTCGCAGCTACTAAAATAAGTCTTTAAAAATAAAATAACAATAAACTATGTGTACATTATGTAGTATATTATATATATACAGGGTGTCTCAGTTTCTATACAAAATTTTACCGCTAACTTTTTAATCAATTATTTAAGAACCTGTGTTTATGTAACATTATTTTATTCTTTTTGATTATAGAAATGAGTAAATTACTCTTGTTTATAAGATACGTTTGTCATACAAAAAACTGGGACACCCTGTATATAGCACATCATACAACTGCGAATAAAAACTTGTATACATTGGAATCGAAAAAATTATTTCTAAATCGTAAATAATAGAATTACTAATTGAACAGTTAAAACCAATAACAATTAATTACAGATATGTGCTTTAAAACAAGTTAACCTAACTTTTACGTTACTAAATCACACGTCGATTTATGTGTACTCACTTGCTCTTAGCTTTCTTGCATAATACATTGGTCAGAAACATGATTTTATATTTATTTACGTATAAAGTTTAATTTATAACAATACTACCGTTCCGTAGTATATGTCGGTGTAATAATAAACTAGCAATAACAAACGATCTACTATACCATGAATAGGACGTGAAGAAAATGATGCATAGCCCTCTATATGTACAGATTATAACTTACATGTTAACATTCTCAATAGATACAATTGAACTGAAAACATGAAATTCTTATTTCATTTCTTTATTGCTTCATTTTCTATAAATCAAACACCTAGAAATATCAAAATGATAAATGTCCAAAACAAAAATCTTGTCATTTTTAATGCATCTAACACGACAAGATTTAAGATGCATAATACTCGAACGAGAGAGCACAAAGTACAAAACAAAGATTTATTAATTGGAAAATTGTATTATTATTACATAATACGGATCTTTTATAAAAAAATCCTGTATTGCCTGAGTTTATCCGACAACTGAACTGATTCATGAGTACACAATGACTTTTTATAAAGAAAAAGAAATAAAGTTTAATTTATCACCTTACTTTCCACTACAACTAAATCTACTTGGTGCAATACAATTCATTAAAAGCATAATATAATAATTGTATAATTGTAAATTGTGGCAAAATATTGCAAAACTTGGAAGAAATTAATATAAGTACATGTAGAATGATCTGTACGTAAATTATGAACTAAAGTAGATCATTTTGTAATAAATATCATGATGATGTTACTTTGTTGTTAGCCATAACTTCCAGTCTTTTAATAACTTTCCCGAGATCAATCTCTTTTTGTAACTTCAAATAATTTTCTTTCCGCACATTATGTATACTGGTCCAAGTGGGTAATAGTTTGCACAATAAACGTATATGCTCCTCCAATTCAGCAACAGTTAACTTTGCTCTGGAGGAATTTTCCAATTTTGTAGTTACAAATTCTAATGGTAAAATTCCCTTCTTTTCGGCTACAAAAATATTACGTAATAATTTAACCAGTTCAGGTAATCTTGAGTACATTATAGCTTCTTTTTCAGCATTCGGTGTACGCGTCATTGCTTCGAGCGCTTTTGCTGCTTGCCTAGCCCGAACCTAAACAATAATACAATTTTACATTCTTAACAATTGAACAAAAGTAATACCAAACATTAAATAATAATTTTGATAGAAAAATATTTACCTTTTCAAGCAAAGCCTTTGGGATACCCTTCAAGGCTGTACTAAGATGATTACTTTGTACAGTGGGTGTAGCAGGTGGTGTATCTACAACAGCAATATTAACATTTTGCACGCTATCTTCAGTTTTTATCACAACATCAGTGTCAGTTCTTTCTGGTGAAAGTGTCTTTGAAGTCATCTTTGCTTCTGCTAACCGTTGTAAAGCTTTCTCCATGCGAGTACCACAATTAAATAATGATTTAGCTTTGTCTAAAACAATTATTTAATCATTTAATATTTTGGAAACTAGTGAAACTTAAGTAGCACATATATAATTATCTTTTTACCGAGAACATCTTTTGCAGTTGTCATCTTTTCAACATTGGGAGGTTGTGGCAAATCAGATGGTTCAATTGGCTTACAACTTTCCACATCAAATTCCGGATGCCAACGTACAATTTTTTCTTTTGGTATACGCATTGGTGTTTCCAAACTAAGTAAAAATTTCTCATGTTCATCCTTTATTTTATCTGCAATTAAGCAACATTAAAATAATTAGAGAATCTGTAAAAACATATCCATAATATTTATGTAAATCAAAGTGTCTATACCAAGCAATATATTGTAAAATTTCCTTCTTCTATTCAGTAATACTTGTGGTCCCATACTAGCTTCAGATGCAGTCTTTAAAACATTATCAGGATCAGGAGTATTTCTTCCATTAGTTTCCTGAACAACAGGCACAAGAACCAATTCGTATTTATCTTGTTTAGATGCAGAACCAAATGTCCGGTATTTCTCTTGAGTATAAATGTATGCATCTGGGAAAATAGTTTTAATTTGTGCCAAATGTTCTAAAGTGAAATTTTTACGCAGCAATTCCTGAACTGCAGGTTTCAATTTTTTGAATGTTATTGTTTCCTTGCGATTGAACAATATTGCAGAAACCTATAAGAACAATCAAATGTTACACAAGGACAGTTACCTACATGTCAACAATAAAATAAATAAATAACATACTGTGTCTACACATCTAAATGCTTCTGCTAAAAAGCGATATTTATATGGCAATGGCAAAGCAGGAGTGCCACTCTCAGCAAGTGACAAATACTGTTGATAAGCTGGTACTTTGGTTGGACTACAATTTACAACACTTCCAGTTGTTTCTTTAGGTTCAAACAAAATTCGTTTCTGAGGACTAACATTCAATAATTCTCTATTTTTCAAAGGGCTTAACATGATTTTGTTTGGTGATTTATATGCTTTCTGTGGGCTAAAAAAAATAATATAATCATAAATAATATAAATGCTTTAAGCATGCTAGAAAATGTCTATCTACAAATACCTTACCTAACTGGTATTTCAAGTTGAATCTTTTCAAATTTCTGTATCTGAGGTTTCTTAACTTCATTCTGTTTCTGTAATTGTTCCAATTTTTGTTCGCAATTCTTGAAACGAGCTATAGATGCTTTTAGTTCCATAAGTCTAGACGATTTGTTGATCCTATTTTTTATTTCAGTCAGAGACATCTCTTGTTTTGCCAATTTACTCATAGCCGAACTTTTCTTTGGTGTTGTGCAATTAGATGACATTTGATCATTCATGATGCCATTAACTGAATTTTCAGCAGAAGAAGAGTTTTTCTTTGGTGTTTCTGGACATTTCTTCCTTGGACTTAACGCACCCTTCTTCTCAAAAAGAACCTTCTTTGCGTCCACATCTTCTGTAGCCTTTTGAAAACTTTCTCGAATATCTGTTTGACCCTCTTGACCAGATAATTTTCGTGAACGGATGGCTCGTGGACGAGCAGTGTTTTTAACTGGCTTCTGAACATTTGTTTTGGGAGAATCAAACTGAATATTTCTAACAGCTGAGTTTGGTTTTATATTGCGGTTGCCTTTTAACTCGTTTCCCGAAACAACAACAACTTTTGGACTTGCACCCATTGTTACGTCTTCTTGAATCGGAGTTAATGTCCCGGATAACTGAGAATTGTTGCTATTTAGTTGATTTTCAGTTTGATTACTCACAGATTTTGATTCTTCCCGATCAAGAAGCAGTACCTTTGCTTTATTCCGTAAATCGTCAGTTGCTGCACGTTTACGCGTATTAAAATACGACGTAACTAACGGCTGCGACATTTTTTATATACGAATATATATATATGAATTGTAGAAATCCGTTAATATTTTGAAAATTCGATACCATTTACGGACTCCTAATTGCCGTGACGATCTACGTTCGATGATAATGTCACGTACAATCCCGCCTTTTTTATCAGTTTAAGCGCCAAGTCAGAGCGAACGGATACTATTTACCGGATATTAATTGACGCGCGTAATTTGAATCGTAAATTATACAGGGTGTCTCGTAACGCTTAATTAGCATTTAAAGAGACGAAACAGTATAGAATATTGAATTATGTGAAAGTTACTTTTCTAATTTTTAAATTACTATGTTTTGAGTTATAAACAGTAAAAGTTTTTCCACCAAATGACATACGACTGGAGTACATAGGGGCGTAACATGTCATGGAGCTTACTAAAAATTTTATTTTAATTTTTTGTATTGATTAACATGTAAATTAATGGATCCGTAAGTAAATAAATAAATAAATAAATAAATGAAAATACTGTAGGACATACGACGCCTTTCCGTACTTCGTCTGCGCGTATGTAATTGGCTAACAATGGTTATTTAATAACACAGTAAATAATGATTTAAGTCAGAATTAATAAAAGAACTGTATGTCCCAAATTCTAATCTTTTTTATTTTCCGAAATATTAATTAATAATATGAGGATAACATGTATTTTTATTTTTCATCCTGAAGAGTATATGTACTTACCGGAAGACGAGCTTACCTTCATTTTGCGCATGTGTGGTACTTTGTAACTAAAAAATAACCAAATTTGTAAATTTAGGAATTTGTAAATTTATCAAATTGAAAATTTGAAAGTTTTATTACTTGGAAATGTAAAAGTTTAATAATTTGAAAATTTTGGGGGTTTAAGAATTTAGAAATTTAAATCACCGAGTATATTTTCAAATTTAGCGTTGTAAACATCACAAGAGCGCACGCGTGTTGCTATTGGTTACGAGGCGCATAAAATTATGAATGAACGTATGATTTGTCATTGAATGAATTTGTTTACATGAATGTAGTATAATTATGTAAATAAATATAATTAGGAAACATCCGGGCTTATTAAATAAATTTTCGGAAAGATTTGTAAACAAATAACAGAACTTTTGACAATTTGAAAATATGACATATATTTTATGTACTTTCTTGTGGCGGCAATTTCGCATCATATGATTTCCATGATTTGTATACAGTAATTACTAAAATATAGTTTTAAGCAGGTACCTAAGTTCTTAAAATATTTTGTATTATACATTTATATGCAAGCATACATTGGCTTTTTACCTCGTTTGTAAAAATAACTTTACAAAATCGCAATATGTTGAACGACAAAATAATTTGGCGAAAGTAGAAGATGACATTCTTTAAAATATATATTTTTATATGAAAGTATTTAATATTGTAGACAATTTTAACCGTTAGCCGTAAGTTTTACTTCATTTATTGAAAATTTATTCACATTTTCGTAAAAGATTTATGAATAATTAAATTCACTAGCGCATGTGGAATTGTCACATAACCTTTAAATGGTGTTTATTGTATATATTGACTTTGTTTTTAGGCAATGAACATTACCAAAAATATAAGTGCACTTATCAGTAGAGTATCCACAATCAAAGAACAATTATTTTCTCCCAAATATTTACTGTATACAAATGTAGCAATATCTATTTCTCTTTCTGCTACCGGTGATGTACTAGAACAACAATATGAAATATTGAAGGTATATAGTTGAGTCAGTGGTTTTTAATTTTAAATTCGGATTTAAACATTTATGATAATTCTGTTTGTTGCAGAATGAATGGGACAAATGGAGTTTGCACAGAACAAGAAACATGGCCATTTCTGGAATGTCTATCGGTATAGTATGTCACTACTGGTATAAATATTTAGATGCTAAGATACCAGGTCGTACAATTACAGTTGTTTTAAAGAAAGTTGTTATAGACCAATTAGTCTGTTCTCCACTATGTATAGCAATGTTTTTTCTAACATTAGGTATTTTAGAAAAAAGTAGTTGGTCTGAATTAAAAACTGAAATTATTAATAAAGCACATAAATTATATGTGGCAGAATGGGTTATCTGGCCACCAGCTCAAATCTTTAATTTCTATTGTTTACCTTCCAAGTATAGAGTCCTGTATGATAATACTATATCTCTTGGTTATGATGTTTATACTAGTCAAGTAAAACATAATAATTTAATGTATAATTCACATTGACCTCTATTTTTGTAAAAAGTAATAAGAACAGTTAATTTCTATTGTTATTACATTTGTTGATTTTATGAAACTGACTCTCCTCTCAGTTCTTGGCTATCATTCTACTTGTATAGTATAAATATTTAAATATATAAATATGTTAAAAGAAATAGAAATAAACCTTTTTCTTTCAAATTATTTATTTATTTTTTCCACTGTAAAAATTATTGATAGAAGAGGGAATAATTTCACAAAATTTGTGAAAAATGTTGTGAGCCTGTGTATTTGTTACACATGATATTTACATCCTTATAGAAAAAATGTCCACTTTATGATAATATGTGCTTTAAAACATTCCATCATGAATACCAATAGGTACAAGGACTGCAATAAATAATAACAAATTACGAGCCACTAATCTCCAGTCATTTGGTACTGCATATGGTGCTAATACCCGGGTTAATCTATGTATCTATAAAAATAAATAAAACATTATTAAACTGAATAATACATAAAAAGTCTATTAAGTTAAAAAGTTGAAGCATTTAAATACTTACTTCATGGCTTGCACATATAAAAATAAATGATGTGACTAATAAATTTAATACTGGAAATCTGGGTAATAATACCAGTACACCATGAGAATCAGCTGCTAACCAAATATGACCTTGTGCGACTAGAGTTTCCAAACTGATTCGGCCTAAACCTGCTAAGAGTGCTGAATGTTTACCGCGTAATGCTAATGAAGCATTCCTTAGCGCTATATATCCTATAATCTGTAATAAAAAACGAAGTTGAACAATTTAAATATAAATGATGAATATTAGATTATTACCGGTATAAAAGCGACGTATGAATGAATTTCTTCACATTCCGAAACTGAGTGACACAATATAGTAAAAGTAGTGTAAGCAGTCAAAGAAATTAATGCCAATACAGAAGATAATGCAGTTCCTGGAATGTGATCTATCCTTTGTAAAGCTACAAGACCTGCTCCGAAAGTGACGCCCCAAGCCACGCTGTATCTGTCTACTCTCCATCGAGACCACCATTCTCGTATATCGTCATCGGTTGTAACAAATAATGCTTTCCAAGGTCTCGTTACAAATACTTTTTCAAAGAAAACCTATTATAGGACTACCTATTGCTTATTCTTGTTATATTAAGGATTCTATACATTTTAAATAAATTATAAATACCTCTGACATGTATAATATTGTTATCATTGATACGAGACCTAGAAGTTTTAAAGCGAGGTAGAGTAAAGCTCTTGGTCCATATTCGTTCAAACTACCAGAATATATTCTTGGAGGTAACCATGCCAAAAAATAGATGACTAAAAACCAGAACGAGACCAATGGAACAAAGTGATAAAATTGATATGGTCTATTCATACAAAGACATAGGGATACCGTTAAAAAATTTAATCTAAACATTACCTGAAAAATAATTAACACATATAATAGTACAACAGCACTTGGTATTTCAATGTATGTTTGAAATACGTACTCTAGCAAATCTCACTAAAGAAACATCGCCCGTTTGCCAGAAGTAACAGAAATGCCCATATCCAGAAAGAAATAAATAAGCAGAATTAATTAGTCTTAAGTACATATAAATTGGTAAAACGTTCTTAGCTCCAGTAACATGGTAAATCAATACAACGGCTTGCATTAATCCTCTCCATTCATCTGTTTGTTCTCGGTTTAAAGCTCGCGGCCCCCTTTCCCTATCTTCGGTAAAAAATAATCCAAGAGCCAATATATATCCAAGTGGTAACCAGAAACTAAATTCACTATAGTATTTATTTTCTTTCATGAAGAAATTTGTTCTGTATTCAATATGAAAATCTCATGTAATGATTAATCACATATTAGGCGATAGAAAACACTTCAACATACCTATCACATAAGTAAAAATAAGCCAGAATGATAGACAAAAGGGCCAATGATGTCATCAAGGTATAAAAATCTTGTGCTTCAGGTTGTTCAATCTGTGTAACTTCAGAAGTATTAGCTTCTTCAGTATCTTCTGCTTCAGTAGTAGTAACGCGTAAGTAAGATATTTCAGATCGGTAATAACAAAATTTTCTATGTATCCACATTCCACCACCAATTACTATACTGTAATGAACTATTACTTACTATATGTTTAAAATGTAATATTATAATATATAGATAATTACCATAAAGCAAGTGCAGATAAACTTAGTAATTGCAATGTTGTTGCTGGTTCTGGATAACTGCAACAACTACCATCATCAAAATTCATATGATCATTGCAATAAGTGTTTAATAATAATTGAACTTTGTGTCGCAAAGATAGAGGACTAGCCAAATATCCATCTGGACTTTGTTCTAAAACACCTGTACCAACAAGTTTACTACTTTCCCATATATGAACCTCACTGTGAGACAATATCTGTGTATGATAAATATATAAATCCACTATTTCTTGGAATGATTATTGAAATATATATCAAATAAATCTTACTTTTATTGCTGCTTTATTACATAAATTGATTTGCCTATTGTCTATGCCTGATAATTGAACTGGTAATCTTTCTTTTAACACTGGGTCCTGCAGCATCCATAAATACTTTGTATTCTTCTTACTCAAAAAGTCTACCGGTTGTACAAGTCTCACTAATCCCATTGTATATTCAGAATACAGCTGGGTATCACTATTGTTGTTTGCAAGAATTGTCATAGCTGCACAGCCTGCAATAATCAAGCTAGGTGCATCAGTTTTCTAGAAAGAATACAATTATTAAATTCCATGCAAAGGTTTTGTTTCAAGTCTTATAACTCTTAATGTATGATTTACCATCCAGTTTCTTAAATCTTCTATCATAGTATTATCCAATTGAGGTCTCCACAAAAATTGTACATTTAACCTAAGTTGGGCATCATTAAAACTTAAATCAGAATTATCCAGTAATTCTGTTAGGTCAGATGTTTTACCATCAACTATGAATTGGGATATGAAAGACTTATACAACTGTCTAATTCTAGCATCTCCAGTGAATACAAAATGATTACGGTGGCCCATGAAAGCTAGATATCTCAAACATCTGCGACTGTCTCTATAGAAAACAATGTTTACTAATGAGTAAGTTGTACATAGAATTTTATGAACTATAAAATTTAAATTCTTACGTTTGTGTATAATAATGCATCATACACCCGTAAGGTTGCCATTCTTTATCTCCTTTATATCTTCCTTCAGTTAATAACCATTTACACGAATCACTACCTATAAAAAACATAACTAATTAAATACTAAGAATTATTATTAGTGAGAAGATGGTTATATACTATTTATTTTACCATAAATAAGGTGCATTAATCCATGATACACAATGAAACAAAGGACAAGTCCAGTAGCTAATTTCTTAGCACTTGCTACAGTAATTAAACTAATAAAATGTTCTGCTGAAGTCATGAATATTTTATCTTTCAGTTACATTGGCACTAGAAATTAAACAATCTATAATAGAATGATTCAAGATAAGAAAGATTAAAAAATAATATTAATCACTCCCTTATTCAAGTTTTTATCATTCTTTCATGTTTTTATTTAAATATAGTTGTGTCTGTGTATACATACAATTATTAAATTGATTCTTAAAAAACATTACACTGTAAGCTGAAATCAGTGTATGACAGATCATTAAGGTAATATAAAATGTAATTATACATACTATATAGATAAATACTTCAAAATATTTGAAAGAGACTGTGTTTATTGCATATATATAGTAATAGTATCTTAGACACAACTTATAATTTCAGTACTGTCCAGTACTCTCATTCTGGAGCATTGCACACAACGAAGTACATCTTGGTGCATCTGCAATGTGATCATAAACCTAGGATTATGGAAATAGTGTGTAAGGTTCAATTATAGGCGAAAAGAGCACAGCTGACATGAGAGGGGAACCTAATAGCAGATGCCTAAATCTGAGTGGTTGCTTTCCTGCGCATGTTTTATGCCGCCAATTATAAGAAATTAGAGAGTAAATGATCGCTTGTATATCTGTACGCTCAATTTTTTGTAAGATTAGAGATTTAGAAATTTTATATTTACAGAATTTCAAGTTTTCGATTTGTAACAGTACCAAGCAGCAGTTAATTAAAACTGAATATCGGTTTATCTCGTCACCTTGTCCCGCAATGGCTTCCTTCTTCAAGGATATGCTCTATCCCTATATGACTAAGTTTCCATCGAGGGTTCAAATCGGGTCAGGTCGGGTTAGAGTCGGGTTTGTGTCGCGGGTTGGAGTTGCGGCAGGGGTGAACATTACCCACTGCACAAAGTCAACTACCATATTCTGACATGTAAAGCTGAGCAATATTAATTTTACAATATCAAAATAACATACAAAAATTATTTCTCAGATTACAAGATCACCGACAAAAAGTAATAATAACCTCTTCTACACCGATTAAAACAGCACGCGATACACAATGTAATTTGGATATGTTATGTTGGCAACACAAACTCGACTCTTGTCGTTTCCACGAACCTCAATTGAACGCTACCCTAAAATTTTGTAGGGTAGAGTTCAAATAAACCTTTGATGTTTCCACCGTAAAAGCGTTCACCCCAACCCGACTCTAACCCGACTCTGACCCGATTTGAACCCTCGATGGAAAGTGAGGCAATAAAATTATATGTGAGCAGGTGAAATAAAATAGTAACATACATATGTTGTATATTTGCCCCAGTATCTATAAGCACGGCTGTCAAGTCTGACTGATTTACACAAAGTTCTTGCTACGACGCCTTGTAAGTGTGTGTTACTCTTTTTTTTATGTGAGACAAACTAAATACAAAATTTGAAAAAAAATGCAAAACACTATCGTTACAATAATTTTACATCCTTGAAACGAAGAATGAACAAAGCAAGTAATCTGTGTAAGTTGCAATGAACAGCGGTTATGTTTTTCAATGGAAAGCGATATAACGACAATGGCGGCAATGTCTCCGTCGAAGGTAAGTTAATAGTGAAGTTTCTTTAACGTGTACATATGTTTGCACATTGTTATATTTTAATATTGTACGATATTTGATTAAAACGTTTAATGTTTAGCGTGTTTCATAACGTTAGAAAAGTGTTATCCAATTCTCAAAACAAGAATTTCTTTGCATGTCATTCGTTAAAATTTGGATGACGTTTTGTGTCAAATAAGACGCGTTTCCTTTTAACTATACAAAAACTTTGACTATTTTCGTGATGTTTTTGTAATGTTTGAATCGGTGCCAACATAACCGAAGACTTATCGATTATATTTCACATTTTATAGATTTATTCATAATTTTATCGTGGATCTGTTTTATACTTATACACTGCTTTTATTTTTATTATATGCGAGTTAATAAAAGAAAAGTTATTTCTCTTGTATTTCGAATTTTATTTGAAATATTTCCATTGAGTATTATAATGTGGAAAAATATGAAATGGAAATTAAATTTTATTTAAATAATTATACTGTGTTTATATAAATAACAGATTGAATAAATATTATAAATTTACTAATCAAGATTATTAAATGTATAAAATTATTAAAATTATATTATAAAATAACACGTTTGAAAAATATTATTTCAGCGGAGATTGCAGAAAGAATTAATGTCTTTAATACGTGAACCTCCACCAGGCGTACATGTAGATGAAGATCTTGCTGGTCAAAATTTAACACAATGGATTGTTCACATGGAAGGTGCAAAGGGCACTTTATATGAAGGGGAACGATTTCAGTTGCAATTCAAATTTAGTTCTAAATATCCATTCGATTCGCCAGAAGTAACATTCATAGGTGGAAATATACCAGTGCATCCTCACGTATATAGTAATGGTCACATCTGCTTATCCATTCTAACTGATGATTGGTCTCCAGCTTTAAGCGTGCAGAGTGTTTGTTTAAGTATTGTATCAATGTTAAGCAGTTGTAAAGAAAAGGTTAGAAAACAAGTTTTATTTTTCTTGGTGATTAAGTATTAAAGTGAATTATTACTTTTTAGAAGAGGCCACCTGACAATTTATTTTACGTGAAAACATGTAATAAAAATCCCAAGAAAACAAAGTGGTGGTATCATGGTAAGTAACATATGTTATAGTTTTAATTAGTACAATTAAGTATCTGTTATTATATGTTTCTTTTATAAGAAATGATATTCTTAAATTATTTAATAAATATATTTTTTCAAAGACCAAATTATGTAGCATTTTTTGTTGTGTTTGAACAGATGACAGTGTGTAACAGCAACTGCTAAAATTCTTAACAACTTGTCAATGAGCAGTTATTGCTGGACCAAGTGGAATGACATTTTTTTTGTCTTAAAGTAATTAATAAAATTTCATAGATGAAATTGTTGAAATAACTTCGTCACGTATTTAAAAAATTAGGTGCATAAGTTAGAAAAAAAGCAAAGGCTACGTATTACTTATTATTACAATAAAAAAGTGATGTAAAATGTGTGAATTATCCAGTTATAAATTATTACGAGGTTATTAAAAGAATAGTACATGTTATCCCACAGTTTAATAGAGGATCATAATTTACAAAATGAGAAAATGGCAGGAAAAAGTGCACGTACAATATTGATATGCAATGAAAGTGTTTTATTATTTGTGTAGAAAGTGCACTGTACAATGGTATCAAATTAATATATTACAGTAATCACTATTAATAGCATACCTTTAAAAATATACAATGTTATCTCACTGGTTATTTTATTTACTTAATATTTTCCTCTCATTATATTAATTTTAGAGTAAGGTAAGCAGTTGTTTCCAATAAATCTTATATTTTGCAATCTGAATTACGTATAAACATGAACATGTATAATCTAAGTATACAGCAATGTTTTAGTCTATTTCTGTGTAATTATTTTAATTGCAATAATACTGTTGTTCGACTATTTTTGAGATAAGTTGAACACAATGTCATTGCAATTGTTCATGTGCAATATTACTAATCAATAAAATTTGTTCTTTTATAGAACTATTATAAAACTGATTATTGTTATGCTGTTTCTTGCATTTTTAGAAATGGAAATTTAATTATAATGTAAAAAATTGATGTAAAAATATCATTTTGTTGTAATTTGTATCTAAATGTATAATACAATTTGAAGTAAATTATTTGATTAAATAATATAATTGCTATCAGTTTAATTTTAAGTTATTTCATTTTTAGTTTACAAAAATATTTTTGTATCATTTATTTATTACAGTGTTGCATTGTGTCAATGTAACAGGTTAAATTTGGTTTGTATTGGAAGTGCAATACCTAACCTAATACAAACGGCGCAACCCGTCTAATAGCTTTGCATGAAATGTATAAATGCGTTGCGCTATTTAAACGAGATTGTAGTTAAAATTGTTTTAAAAATTGTATAAAGTCAGTCCTTGTACATAAATCATGTAATAAATTATTAAATTGTCTAAAATTACAATAAACATTTGTTAAGTGTTCAATATTAATTTTGTATATGGAGCGAGTGACTTCGATATCGTTGGAAAATTTAAATACATTAAAAATGGCCACGTATAATTAAAATACGCTGGTTTGTAAAATAATCAACAGTGACAAATATATTTGAAGGTAATTTTAAAAGGTGTTTTACTATGCACATCAGGATGAGTGTACGTATGAGAAGGACAATTTTCTGTGGGATTGTATTGTTATTAAGTGTATTATATTTATATACAAATCGAACCATATATTCAAATGAACATGAGAAAAATATTTCTTTAAAATTACTTCTTGCTGCTGCTATAAAAGCAGCAGAAATTGGTGGTTCCGAAGTAATAGCAGTTCATGACCAAGTAAAATTTGAAATACAAAGTAAAGGAAAGACAAAAGAAGGTAATTTAGTTAATCATAACTATGATAATAATATATAAATAATTTTCAAGCATATTTCATGTCTTATACTTTTATTTCAAAAGGTATAAATGATCCAGTAACAGAAGCAGATTACAGATCACATTGCGCAATGTATCACTCATTGTTAGAGGCATTTCCATATATCACAGTCATATCAGAGGAAGCATCAAAAAATTGTGACAAAGTTACAGTTTCAAATATAAAAGACTCTGTTGATAGTTTAACAGATTATAATATCAAGGATGAGTTCATAAATTCAAATGACATCACAGTTTGGATTGATCCTCTTGATGCAACCAAAGAATTTACAGGTGCATTTACTAAGCAAAGGCATTACTCTATTAGTTTCTAATACTTTGGTAATAAATCATTTTCATATACTATTCTTTTTACTGTAGAAAATTTGTTACAATATGTTACAACTATGGTTTGTGTTGCTGTCAAGGGAAAGCCTATAATAGGTGTTATATATAAACCATTTGAAACAAGACAGAATGCTAGTTTATTTTGGACATGGACCAGTCATGCAATTTCAAAAAATTTGCAAGCACTCCCAAAGGTAATAAATGTAAAAGGATTATTTGAATTTATGAGTTAAATAATATTTTTAAAAATAGCTGGAAGATGATAGGACACCAATATTAATTGTATCTCAATCACATGCTGGTCAAGTTCATAATGTTACCAAAATTGCATTTGGTAAAGATGTTGAAATTGTTTCGGCAGCTGGTGCAGGTAATTTTACATGTAAATATAGCAATTAATATTAAGTATTATAGATATATGAATCCATTGCATAAATTTAGGTTACAAGTTCTTAGAAGTCGTAAGTAGAAATGCAACTGCATATGTGCATATGACTGCAATAAAGAAGTGGGACATTTGTGCAGGCACTGCAATTCTTACTGCTCTTGGTGGTACAATTACTCAGTTGTTTGACCAACAGTTGATAAGTTTTGGTCCCAATGATTCCAAAATTCTGACATGGGGTCTTTTAGCTACTATGAGTAACCATGCTTGGTATTTGGATAAATTTTCGAATATTTAATATTTAATATTTAAAGTTACTATTTAACATATGTGTTTTAAATTATTCTTCCTATTTAAATACCAAAAACTCCTTCCACAAAGAATTAGTAACAAAATGCAATTCTTTAAAAAAAATAATTGTAAAAACATTTATTCACAAATCTTACATCAAATTCAATCCCTAATGCAGCTGCTTTAGGGAAAATGTTTTATACTTCTAAATTTTATATAATTACTGAAAAATTTACTATTACCATTACATTTTGTATTTCATATTTTTTCAGTAAGAAATTATTAATCTTAAGTAAATTCTGTGATATTGTCAACAATTTCTATGATTCGTCATGTTAAAAAAAGAGAACAATAAATTTAGTTTCTACAACTTGTACTTAACAGTATTTCAAATGTTTTATTTCTGTATGTGATAAAAGTGCACACATATTAATACTATTATGCTAATCTCACTTTTTCGTCAGAAATTACTACTTCTGATACTTTCTTTAACTTTTTATTAAATTTGCTAAATGCTTTTTCCTGTGTTACTGTATCTGGACACAATTTCATGTATTGTGAAGTTACTTTTTTCTGTAATTTTTTTAAGGAAATTTCTTCTTTACTTTTTACTATGTTTAAGATAGCTTCCTTCCAGTCAAAAGTTGATTTTTCTATTACATTATCACATTGAGCAACTTGTGATTCAGAAGGTAATGTATCTTTGTCTGATTCCTGTGCAAGAACATTTTTCTTTTTCTTAGGTGTTTCTTCTTCTACTTGTTCTGGCACAGCTTCAGATATTTTTCTTTTTTTCGATTTTTTCTTTTTAATACTTTTAGTAGAATTGTTGTTATGACTATCATACAATCCATTACTTTTGTTTTGCTGACCATCAGCTTGATTTTCTTTGTATATATTTTCATTGTTTTGATTTTCAACAACATTATTTTCTTGATGTGCATCTTCAGATTTCTTATCATCCACCTTTTCAGTTGCCTTACCTATTTAAATATGATATAAAGTATTTTAGAAACAACAACTGTCAATATAAATAAAATAAATTATTTACCATTTTGTTGTTTTGTTGTTGTATCTTGCATACTATTCTTATAAGCTGTTTGCATTTTATCCCATACACTATCAATTAATGCTTGATTTGCTTTATTGCCCATACTTCGAATGAAATTTAAAAACTTGGCCTTTTTTCGCGGAATATTATCATACTTTGATAAACTATTTAAAAAGTTTCGTTCTGCACTTGTTAAACTCGTTTCGCTGTTTAACATATTATTTACTAGATTAATCCACTCCTGTTGCTTTCGTTCACCTTTGTTTGCTCCAGGTTTTGGAACATAATCCTTTCCTCCATATCGCTCCGCTTCGGTTATACATTTTGTATGTGCAACGTATTCCTCACCTCTTATAATAATTAATAATATAATTCAACATAGTATTATTTTATGTTGAAGTGATTTTTATTTATACTTACCGAAAATCTTTGAAACAATCAACGCACGATACGAAAGGTGCGGTACGGCAATGAAATTCGTAATGTTTTGCTACCTTTGTTTTTTGTAACGACTCACCGCAATTATTACAAGTAAATACCACCATTATTATAAAATTACTATTTTTATATACACACAAACTGTTATAATCGAATGAAAATATAAATTCTGCAAAGCGTATTATTCTAACCTATACACTCCGGTCTCACGTTAGTTGCGCACCACGTGCAACGTGTAACCAGTGTTGAGCAGTCCCAGTGCATGCGCAGCAGTGATGAGATATTGGACGGGTTTTTGCGCGCATACGCGAGAAATGTAGGCACGTACGCAGCGTATGTATTTAGCGGTGCCACTCGATGGCTTTATTATATATTTTGGTTAATTATTTTAGTACCCTTCCTTTTCATCTGCTCCTCAAATATGAAAATATGTATATAATCTAAATATCCAACCTATACATTCATATTTCACAACCAAATTATAAAAAATTTTTTAAAAATAATGAGGGGCGATTAAGGTACCCCATTCTATTGAAACTTGTACTTTACTGAGACTAAAATTGCCGCGCATGCGCAAGAAATGCAGGAGCGTCCGCAGCGTATGTATTTAGTGGCGCCGCCAGATAGCTTTATTATATATTTTGCTTACAGTTATTATAGTACCTTTCCTTTCCATCTGCTCCTCAAATATGAAAATATGTATATAATGTAATCTTATGCAACCTATACATTCACATTTCTCAACCAAATTATACAAATTTTTGGAAAATAATGGAGGTGATTGAGGTACCCTATTTTATTGAAACTAGTACTTTACTGAGACTAAAATTGCCGCGCATGCGCAAAAAAACCCGTACCATATCTCATCACTGATGCCCAGTAAGCTAACCGTAGAGGTCCTCAGTAGCGTATACACCTTGATGAAATATAAGGTATCATTAGGCCCTAGTGAGGAAAAAAAAATAAATCTGAAGAAAATTGCAGGAAAGAGAATAAAAGGGTTAAATAATACAACAGATTATATATAATAAAAGTAATATTAAATTTATTTATGATTATTATTATTTTTTACGTTTGCAGCCGATTTGTTATATGAATACCAATATTTGTTGCAAGAGCAAAGGAAAATATACCGCCCGATTTTTATCAGATATACGCATGTTAACAAAATAAAATCCTTGTATTTCATTCTTATTGTTTCTCTGATATTATAATTTTCACACGTATAAAATATAGTTATTCAAAGAGGTCCTTCCACGTCGTTTTTCTTAAATAATAAATTCATTTAGAGTTTTAAAAGTTATTGTGCTTTTGTTTTATTTTCAATATAATAATCTCCCATATTCCACCATAGTATTCCCATTATATTATATAATATATATATAATATATATATATATATATATATATATAGTTCTATAGTTTTATACAGTCATATATATAGCTACTTATATTACTACTTATCTTACTACGCATATTACTACTTTTATCATCATTATCCTTATCATTCTTATTATTATCAATATTATTACGCATATTACGACTACTGTCATCGCTGGAACTGTAATTATCCTTACTATTCTTATTTTTATCAATATTATTACGCATATTACTACTTTTATCATCATTATCCTTATTATTCTTATTATTAACAATATTATTACGCATATTACTACTAGTATTAACATTATCCTTATTATTCCTATTATTAACAATTTATTATTCTTATTATTATCAATATTATTACGCATATTACGACTACTGTCATCGCTGGAACTGTAATTATCCTTACTATTCTTATTTTTATCCATATTATTACGCATATTACTACTTTTATCATCATTATCCTTATTATTCTTATTACTATCAATATTATTACGCAA